TGTGAGGGCAGATCTGCACATTCCCCCCCCCCCATACCTACCAATCCAAAACACTCCAGTGGCACCTTTAAGACCAAGTTTTATTCAGGTACAAGCTCTCCCTCCTCTGTGAGGACAGATCTGCACGTTCCCCCAATAACTAGCAATCCAAAACAGTCCAGTGGAGCCTGAGCGGGTTTCGAGCAAGGGAAACCTTTACCTTTACATTGGGGTGGGGGATGTCATAAAACAAAGAGCAAAGATGATGGCCTCTCACTAAGGTACTGTGATGATAAGTCTCCAAGATACGTTTCCTAATAAAGATAAGAGAATCATGCTTTCCCTGGGCCAAGGGATATGACAGATGTCATAAAAAGAGAGCTTATAGTACCTTGGTGGTGATAGAAAGTGCTGTCAAGTCAATTTTCTCAGTGGAGGGTGGTAAGCAATGGGGTACCATAGGGATCAGTACTCGGTCCGATGCTTTTTAACTTTTTATTAATGATTTGGATTTGGGAGTAAGCAGTGAAGTGGCTAAATTTCCAGGTGACACAAAGTTGTTCAGGGTGATGAAAACCAGGGAGGATTGTGAGGCACTCCAAAGGGATCTGTCAAGGATGGGCGAGTGGGCATCAACGTGGCAAATGTGGTACAATACGGCCAAGTGCAAAGTGCACATTGGAGCCAAAAATCCTAACTATAATTACACATTGATGGGGTCCGAACTGGCAGAGATAGGGACTCTGGGGCAAGTGATGCTCTGTCTTCTTGGTGCTTGGGGTGGGGCAACAGTGGGAGGGCTTCTAATGTCCTGGCCCCATTGGTGGACCTTCTGATGGCACCTGGTATTTTTGGCCACTGTGCGACAGAGTGTTGGACTGGATGGGCCATTGACCATTGGCCTGATCCAACACTGGCTTCTCTTATGTTCTTATGTTAAGTCACAGCCAACTTATAAAGATGTCATGGGGTTTTCAATCCGACTCTAGGGCATGGTGCTCATCTCTGTTTCCAAGCTGAAGAGCCAGCGCTGTCCGAAGACATTTCCGAGGTCATGTGGCCGGCATGACTAGATGCCGAGGTGCACGGAACCCTGTTACCTTCCCACCAAAGCAGTACCTATTTATCTACTGCTCCAGAAGCTGGACTTTGATTCTGGGTGCAAAGTCAAGGAGGTGAAAATGCAAAAGGAAGGGACGGGTGGAGTAAGGAAGTAAATCAGAGGGGGGGAACTGCTGGTGGCAAACAGAGGGGCTTGGCCAAAGAGGACCCC